CTACTACTACGTACTACTACGTACTACTACTACTACTACTACTACTACTACTACTACTACTACTACTACTACTACTACTACTACTACTACTACTCTACTCTCTCTCTCTCTCTCTCTCTCTCTCTCTCTCTCTCTCTCTCTCTCTCTCTCTCTCTCTCTCTCTCTCTCTCTCTCTCTCTCTCTCTCTCACACACACACACACACAGAGATCAAATCTCTGGCCTGATACGCACCCATGACCGAAATTCAATGGGCCCATAGCCCAGAACCTCTATCTCTATAGTACATAGTTCTAGATCGGATCTCCACCATACCCCACCAAAATGCAAAACAAACTCAATCCTCCCAACAACCCTAGCTCTCTTCACACACAAAACCATCGCCCGAAACCCTAGTTTCTCCACACAGCACAAAAACACAGCTTACAAAACCCTAGAACTTCTCTCCTCCAGGATTTGGGGAAATTCAAAGCAAAACAATCTGCCCATAAACAACAATACGAGAGAAAAATTCAAGAAATCAATAGCGAATTCGAACTCACCTCTGATCTTGTTGGAAATCCGAGAGATTTGAAGAATCACGGCGGAGGAAGCGCAGGTGAGAGCCTAACCAGTAAGCTTCACCGCTTCCATTACAAGGCAAGACGGAGTGAAGCGAGTGAAGAGAGAGGCTTGAGAGACACAAATGTGGTGTTAGAACGAGAGATGCCGTCCTAAAGTAACAAGGAAGTTATTTTTCAAGTTTACTTATTACACAAGAGTAAGACAATTCAACAGAGAGATTATTAGGAGATGAAATATTATTACATAGAAATATAAATTATTAAAAGAGAGAATCGCAAGTAAAGTAATAGAGGGAGTGAGAAGGGGAAAAAATTTCGAATAGAAATTAAAAAAAGCAACGGAGGATAGAGAGAGATTACTGCACCACACAATACCGCCGTAGGGTTGGCAACGGATCTGGGTTCGGCCAGCTGGACCCGGACCCGGACCCGGACTTAAAATATAGTGTGGGACCTGGACTTGGAACCAATTGAAGGCAGAAAATATTACTGGACCCGAACTTGGACCCAACCGGACCCGAATGGTGACCCGTATCTGAACTCGGACCCAAATAGTATTCGGATCCAAGATTTGGACATGTACCCAACATGCTGGGTCCAATTTTTAGACCTATACCTGAATTCGGATCGAGTCTATCCCTCGGGTCCTATATCCGGTCAGGGTCTATTGCCACCCTTAGACAATAGATAGTTTCTTTGTGTATTTTTACTATAGTTAAAACATGTGAAGCTACCGGTTGAATTAGTTATATGGATTTTAAAATAAAATAATGTTATAAAATATATTGTATTGCAAAAGAACAACGGTTGACAATTCTTCGACAATCAAACTGGTTAAAAATGGGTAGTAGGACTAGACAAAACATTGATTATAGCCAATTTTCGATCAAACTTAATTTTTGTTTTAACCCGGCCAAAGTACCGACAGTGGTCCAACCAATTGGACTCATCGGTCTAATTCAGTCTCGATAATTATGTTTTAAAAAAAACATTAGATCTGAAATTTTAACATCCACTTCTTAATTATTTAAAAAATAAATAAATTTTAAGAGTTAAAGACTCTAGATTGTCATTAAATAGACAAAATCACGTTATATTATTGAGCACGTATACAACGTACTAGGAGGTCACATTTAAAATTTGGGATCCTTATATTACTCCAAAATTTTCTTTTTTCTTTTTTTTTTTTACGTATAATCTTTAGCATGGGTTATAATAGAAAAAGATTATAAGGAGAGATCCTAAAACATGAGAAACTCATTGGTCTCCTTCGCAACACGACACGTGACTAGCTTCACACGTGCCTATCCATGATGTAGCACGCCAAGGTTTTGGACAGTGTTATGAGGATCATACCGGTCAGTAAATGGTTAGTTCAGTCAAAATTAATCGGATGGTTGGTTGAACCGTTTTAACTATATTTTAAAAACATTACATAAATAAATAATAGTTTAAAAAATATAAAATATTATAAAAAAAGTTATTTATTTTTTTGGTCAATCGAAATAGTCGAAATCGGCCATTTGGATCGACCAATATTTGTTAAACATTAATTTTAACTAGTTTTTTATCAAAACCAGCTTTTTAATTTAAACGAGACAAATCAAGAGATATGACCTGTCCGACCGCAAGCCCAGTCCGTTTCGATTTTCAATTTGTTATGAAATTTCACGAGCGGGTCCCTTGAATGGGTGCTTGTTTTCATGGCCCCAAGTAATACGTGAGAAAAATGCTTTCTTTTGTATTTACATGAAGTTTTATTAGTTGATTATTGTAAAGTTTGATTTTTAGGCCTGAGCGACAAGGATGTGATTAGATGGTGCGTTAGGGGTCTTTGGTTTGGAAAAACAAGTGTTTGGGTCGGTACGGGCTCTTGGCTGGTTGGCTCTTAAGGGGATAAGGTTGGAGACCGGAAGAAGTTTGAATCTCAACTATTTCTTCGGCTATGACAAAGTTTCGGTGCCGGTTTTTTTCATCTATTATTATTGATCAACAAAATAATAGTTTATACATATATATATATACATGGAAGAGACTACAAAATGTTTATGGGTGAAAATGAATAGTATTTTCATTCATAAGCCCCACACTGTTCAATTTTTTTGGACAGCGTGGATTAAAGATTGTCACGGACATCCGTGATCGTGATAGTCAGATCGGCCCAGAATCAACCTGGGACGTTGGGCTTCATATATTGATATGAGCCAGTGGACTAATCTCATATTTTCACTATATATATATATATATATATATATATATATATATATAT